GGAGTCTCACGGTCTTTCCTGTCCGGGCTGGCTTTGAACCGCGATCCTCAGATCTCAGCCTCCTGAGTAGCTAGGATTACAGGCGTGAGCCACCAGCGCCCGGCGCTTCCATTTTTTTTTAATGGTAAATTATAATTTAACTTTTTTTAATGTTAACTGCCAGGCACCGGTGGCTCAAGCCTGTAATCCTAGCTACTCAGTACGCTGAAGTCTAAGGATTGCAGTTCAAAGCCAGCCTGGTCAGGAAAGTTCATGAGTCTCTTATGTCCAATTGGTAGTGTACTCTCCTTGAACACAAAGCTCTAGGGATAGATACCCTCCAGACCCTGAGTTCAGCCCCAAGACTAGTAAATACATAAACAACAAAAAAAAAAACAAATATCCAGTCATTCTTGGCTCAAGATATGGAGCTATTATAGATTAGACAATTTGGGAGACTGTTATCTCTAATTAACCAAGGGAAAGAAAGCCCAAAATGGAGATGTGGCTAAAGTGGTAGAGCACCAAGCCTTGAGCAAAACGCCAAACAGAAAGTGTGAGGCCTTGAGTACAAGAAAAATAAATCAACTGTTTTCTACACTTTTGCACTAGTATATAAATTTTCTAATGAAAGCTCATCTTGTCATTCTTTACCTCTCCTTCACACACACATTGACTTGCTCAAAAGAGACATTCTGCATATATATAGAACATGTTCTAGAGAAGTGATTTATTACCCACTGTATGTGGTTATGTGGAGGTCTAGTTTGATACTGGGCAGCCAGTAATCAAAGCAACCCAGGAAACAGAGATGAGCCGTGATTTGATACACGGACCTACACATTTTCTCCCTGAGATACTTAGCTGCACTGGTGACTTAAGGTACATTTCATTACTGAGAAACTCAAATCTATGATCTCTGTCTTAAACCAGCTGTCTTCCCTCCATCTCTACCCATACCATGTCCTGCAGGCATATCAACTGTACAACCTTCAAACTAATTCTCTCCCATTTTTCCTTTCTGTGCTCTCCATTTTCATTAGGGGTCAGTCAAGGCTTTAGCCAAGAAACCCTATAACAGCCCTGTAACTACTTCCTGCCTTATTGCTAATACTGGTTCAATATTTCTCTAATCAAAATCATTTTTGTAGCTTTGTGCAGTTTGACCTCCACTTACATCCTCATTCTTTCCCTGTTTAGAATGATGGCAGGTAGTTCTCTTTTATGTTTTTCTTCAGTTCCTCTTTTACACTTTGTTACTAAGATTACCTTTCTAAATGACAGACTTGATCCTGTCACTCCTTGCTTATAAACCTTTGTGTTTCCCTATTGCTTAGAACATGGATCCTGAAAGTATCATGTGGGCAACTCTGACTGGCTACTTCTTTTTTTTTGTGGGGGGGGGTTAGTTCTGGGACTTGGACTCAGGGCCTTGGCACTGTCACTTTCACCCAAGACTGACTCACTTTGAGCCACAGCACCACTTCTGGCTTTTTGGTGGTTTATTGAAGATAAGAGTCTCATGGAGCCAGCTGGCTTCAAACTGTGATCCTCAAATCTCAGCCTCCTAAAGTAGCGAGAATTACAGGCATAAGCCATTGGCATTGCACTGTGGCTTCTGCTTTTGTAAATACAAGTCTTATTGAAATATAGCCATGCTAATTTATTTATGCTCTACATATGTCTGCTTTCATGCTCTGAATTGAATAGTTGTGACTAAGGTGGTATGGCCCACCAAACCTGAATTGTTTACTCTCTGGTTCTTTGTGTATGTGTACACAGGATAATTGAACATGGGGCCTTTCACCCTCACTTGGCTTGTTCCCTCAAGGCTGACATGCTACCACTTAAACTTATCTTCACTTGTAGATTATTGGTGGTTAATTGGAGTCTCAAGGACTTCTCTGCCTGAGCTGACTTCAAGGGCAATCCTGAGATCTCAGCCTCTTGAGTCGGTAGAATTCCACTCTCTGGTTCATTCAGAAAATATTTACCAATCCCTGGTTTCCAGGATAGAGCTAAACAATCATTGATGATCCTGTCCCCAACAGGTTAGTTATTTTCACTCTAAAAATAGCTGGGCATGGATGCTCACACCTGTAATCTAGCTACTTGATAAATAGAGAGCAGAAAAGTAGAGATCTGGAGGATTGCACTTCCAGGCCAGCCTGAGCAAAAAGTTTTGAAGAGTGCTGGGAAGGTGGCTCAGTGGTAGAGTGCTTGCCTTGCATGCGTGAGGCCCTGGGTTCGATTCCTTAGTACCACATAAACAGAAAAAGCTGGAAGTTGTTCTCAGCTCAAGTGGTAGAGTGCTTGAGCTGAAGAGCTGAGGGACAGCACCCAAGCCCAGAGTTCAGGCCCCACAACCGACAAAAAAATAAAAGAGTTTTGAAGATTCCATCTTAACCAAGAATAAGTGAAGTGGTAAGGGCCTGTCATCCCAGCTATACAAGTATAACAAATAGGTGAATGACAATCCAGGCCATTCTTGGCATAAACCATAGATCCTATTTCAAAAATAAGGTAAAAACTGGGAGAGAGTAAGAGAAAGGGTAACATTGTCCAAAAGAAATATACATTTTACCTGACTTATATACCTGTAATCCCTCTGTACATCACTGTTATAATAACAAAAATTAAAAAAATAAAGAGCTATAGGCATGGCTCAAGTAGTAAAGCACCTGTCTAACCAGGTGTGCAAATATGAGAGGGGCTGTGTGTGAGAACTATGTATTTTATGCTTAAAGAACCATTTATGCCTGGCTCTGGTGGCTCACACTTGCGATCCTAGCTTCTCAGGAGGCTGAGATCTGAGGATCGTGGTTCAAAGCCAGCTCAGGCAAGGAAAGTTCATAAGACCCTTATCTCCAATTAACTCCAGAAAACCAGAAGTGGTGCTGTGGCTCAAGTGGTAGAGCACTGGCCTAGGCCCAGAGTTCAAGCCCCATGACTGACCCAAAAAACCCACAAAAAGCATTTATAAGAGGCTATATGGAAAATGACTTTACAATGAACTTCATACAGGAAATAAATTTCATTGTTTTAACCTTTAACCAGAACATTACCATGTTACAGTTAAATTCATGATGTCCTTCCTTACACTTGCTTTTAACTAGTTACTATTTAATCCTTCATTAATAATTCATTAATATATCCACATACTATGTTGATTAAATGTACCCATAGTGCTTTTAATTGTTTTATGGATTTAAAGTATTGCCTGGTCACCTTGAATCATGGAGACTTGGTATTGTTCAGGATGTCTGGAAAATCCCAGGGTGTTTTCCAGCCCTACCTCACTTGGCAGCACTGAAACTCCAAAATGTCTTGCATATTGGTGGGCAACAGCTGGAATCTCTTCTCAGCTATTTTAGCCATCCAGCTGTTTTGGTTTTTGTGTTGTTGAGGGGTTTTGCTTTGGAGTCTGCATCTATTGGGTAGGAAGGAATTGGTCAGAAATAAGCAGGGGTGTATATTGAAGTGTTTAAGGTTTTCTATCTTATTCCTTTCCATAATTTCCCCCTGGATTTCCAGCTGCTCTGCCAGTCCTGGACTTCTGTCTTCTGACATCTTAAGCCAGTAGTGCTATGGCTTTGGCTTGAGTTTTAGCTACTATGTACCACAGGGAGTTGGGAATGGGATTGGTGTGGGTTTGCTATGGGGAAAAGCTATATAAAAATGGATGCTAGCTGGGTTCTGGTGGCTTACACCTGTAATTCTAGTTACCCAGGAGGCTGAGATCTGAGAATCACGGTTCAAAGCCAGCCTTGCAGGAAAGTCCATGAGACTCTTATCTCCAATAAACCACTCAGAACACTGGAAGTGGCGCGATGGCTTCCGTGGTAGAGCACTGGCCTTGAGCTAAAGAGCTGAGGGACAGCGCCCAGGCTCAGAGTTCAAGCCCCATGACCAACAAAAATAAATAAAAATTAAAAATAGATGCTATCATGGGTTTTCTTTCTTTCAAGGGTAAAATCCCTTTCAGATTCTGTTTTCTCTTCAAAGAGTAATTGCCAATATTTTTCAAATCTTTTTCTTTTTAGAATTTGTGTTGGTTCTGAGTCTCCTATTGAACACAATCTCTTGTTTTTTTTGAAGATTTCCATAGTATGTTTCATTTAGTTCTTTATTCACAACCTTTCTCTCCTTTGTTATCTATTGCTGCATTAACTCAGAGTCTAGTGGCTTACAACGGCCATCTTATTATACGTACTAGATTATGTGGGTCAGCACTCTATTTCATGTATCTGGCATCTTAGAGTTTTTCTAGGGCTCAAAGTTTGGAAGTGATGATACAGCTCAGCTAGCAGCACTTAGAAATATTATAACTTGGACTGGGAAGGTGACTCAGTGGTAGAGTGCTTGCCTCACATGCATGAGGGCCTGGGTTTGATTCCAGAGCACCACATAAACAGAAAAAGCTGGAAGTGACACTGTGGCTCCAGTGGTAGAGCACTAGCTTGGAGCTGAGAGCTGAGGGACAGTGTCCAGGACCAGAGTTCAAGCCCACGACCGACCAAAAAAAGAAAGAAGAAAGGAACATTACAACTCAGCCATTTGGCAGTTGATGTTAAATCCGCCAGATGGAAGCTACATTGCTGCCGTCTCTGCCGTAATCTGGGAAGTTGCGTGGCAGGAGTTACGCAGCATAACTTCCTCTGGTTTGGTTAATATTTATGTTTGACTCAAATTCAGGAGTTGTGACACAGTCCACCCCTCAGCAAGAAAAGTATCAAAGAATTTACTGACAGAATTGTTGTTTTTGTTGTGTTTTCCTTTGTGGTGCCAAGCATCAAACCCAGGGCTTCCTGTTTGAATGTGCTTTACCACTAAGTTGCCCCCATCCCCTAAGGCCTACACATGTCTCAATTGGTACTTACCGAAATAATGTGTTTTTCTTAATTTCTTAAAACAGGATATAAGTTTGTATTTAAAGCTTTAAGAAAGGAATGAGGTACTTCATCAGTTCTTAAAACATTTCTTTAGGTTGATTATTCTTTTTTTGTCTTTTTTGGTTGTAGGATACAGTCTTTTAATACAAGATTCATGCTTACGGAGTAAAAATGGCAGGCTTCCTAGATAATTTCCGTTGGCCAGAGTGTGAATGTATTGATTGGAGTGAGAGAAGAAATGCTGTGGCTTCTGTGGTCGCAGGCATATTGGTAAGTGTGCAAGCCCTGCTAAATGAGAAGATGTTTATACCTCAGCGTGTGCCTGGGGAAATTAGTGTTGATTTCCTTTGAATTGTGAACTATTTTATTTCACTGATATTTTGCAGAATTATCAGGATTCCTAATACTATTTTTTTTAACTACAAAACTTGGTAGGATCTGGGTTTATTTGGTTTTGTGAGTTTTGTTAAACTTAGCATCTTTTCTTCAGTTCTAGTAATAGTATGCCTATAGTAATATAGGCAGCAGCATTTTAAACTTAATGATACAGTATGTGTAGCTACTTACAGGTGTGCAAAGTATCCAAGTTTGATGTTACCTAGTGTTATTGTTGTTCCTTAAAGGTGAGCTATGTAGCTGGGTGCTTGTGGCTCATACCTGTAATCTTAGCTACTCAGGAAGCTAAGTTCTGAGAATCACAGTTTGAAGCCAGCCCAGGCAAAGCCTATGAGACTCTTCTTTCCAATTAACTACAAAAAAAAAAAAAATCTGAAAATGGAGCTGTGGCTCAAATGGTAGAGTACTAGCCTTAAGCCTTGAGCACAAAAGCTCAGGGACCAAGAGTTCAAGCCCCAGAACCAGGAGTGGGGTGGGGGGGAAAGCTAGGCTATGTAGCCAGCAGTAACACCTTAGTCATTGGTAGAACAGAATCTCTGCAGCTGCTCTTCCCCAAGTGATATCATCTCTGTTTCCCAAGTTACTGCATTGGGCACCAGAGGAGGAAGAACTTTGTAGAGGAAATTTTTGCTTAATTTTGTTTGCATTATCTCCTTTTTAAGATTTTTGTACTGCAAATGTAAAAGTATACAAAAGTAGAGAATGCTATATAGATCCTTTCTCCTCCCTTTCCCCTTGTACTTACTGTACAGCTTCAAAAACAAGCAAATGTCTAACTTTATATTCTGTCAGCCATCTCCTGCGTCTACTAACTACATTATTGGAAACACATTTTAGCATCATATATATTTTTTTCTTTTTTTCTGTTGGTCAGGAGGCTTGAACTCTGGGCTTGGGCACTGTCCTTGTGCTCTTCAGCTCAAGGCAAGTGCTCTACCACTTGAGCCACAGCGTCACTTCTGGTTTTCTAGTGGTTTATTGGAGATAAGAGTCTCACGGACTTTCCTGCCCGGGCTGACTTTGAACAGTGTGATTCTCAGATCTCAGCGTCCTGAGTAGCTAGGATTGCAGGTGTGAGCCACCAGCACCCAGCTTCAGCATCTTATATTTTTATCAGTCATTTCTTTTCATATACATTTTTATACTCAGACTTCAATAGAAAAAATAAAATTTATTCAAACAAATGAAAGCAGAAGTAGGACCGAAGATAATTGTGAAAAACATGCAGAATTTTTTAATTGTGACTTTTTGTGTGTGTGTGTTGATCATGAGGCCTGAACTCTGGGCCTGGTTGCTGTCCCTCAGCTCTTCAGCTAGCATTCTACCACTTGAGCCACAGCACCACTTCCAGCATTTTCTGCTTATGTGGTGCTGAGGAACCGAACCCAGGGTCTCATGCCTGTGAGGCAAGCACTCTATCACTGAGTCACCTTTCCAGCCCCGCAGAATTTTTTAGATGTTTTTTGTGTGTGTGTGTGTATGTGTATGTGTGTGTGTGTGTGTGTGTGTCTATGTCTGTGTGTTTGTGTTCCCTTACTGGAACTTGAACTCAGGGCCTTTCTTGCTTGGCTTTTTGTTGTTGTTGTTGGTTGTGGGACTTGAACTCTGGGCCTGGGCGCAGTCCCTCAGCTCTTCAGCTCAAGACAAGTGCTCTACTACTTGAGCCACAGTGTCACTTCCAGTTTTCTAGTGGTTTATTGGACATAAGAGTCTCACAGACTTTCCTGCCCAGGCTGGCTTTGAACTGCGATTCTCAGATCTCAACCTCCTGAGTAGCTAGGATTACAGGCCTGAGCCACCGGTGCCCAGCTTTGCTTAGCTTTTTTGTTCAAGGCTGGCAACTCTACCACTTGAGTCACACTTCCACTTCCAGCATTTTGCTGGCTAATTGGAGATGAGAGTCTCTCAGATTTGTGTCTGAGCTGCTGTCAAACCTTGATCCTCAGATCTCAGCCTCCTGAGTTTGTAAGATTATAGATTTGAGGCATCAGCACTATACCACATTTTCTTAATGAATTCATCAGTTATGGGGAACCTTTCCATTGCTGTGTGGTATGAATAGTTCTGCAATAAATGTGTGTGTGTGAAAGGGCTTTTTTTTTTTTTGCCTGTCCTAGGGCTTGAACTCAGGGCCTGGGCACTGTCCCTGAGCTGCTTCTGCTCTACCCCTTGAGCCATTTTTTCTGAGTAATTTATTGGAGGTAAGAGTCTCAGACTTTTTTTCCCCAGCTGGCTTTGAACTAGGATCCTCAGATCTCAGATCTCAGCCTCCTGAGTAACTAGAATTACAGGCATAAGCCACTGGCACCTGGCTACAAGGGCTTTTTTTTGTCTCATCACTTACCATTCCTTTGGTTATATGCCCAAGAGCAGTATCACTGGATCATATTGTATTTCTAGCTTTTTGAGGACCATACTGACTTCTATAGTGGTTTCATTAGTTTATATTTCCACCAACAGTCCAAAGAGTTCCTTTGTCCCCATATACTTGCCAACATCTGTTATTGTATTCTTCATGACGGCCATTCTGACTGGAGTAAGATGAAATCTCAGTGTTTTGATTTGCATTTGCATTTGTTGAACACTTAATGTATTTTGACCATTTGTATTCTTGTTTTGAAAATTGTCTGTTCTATTCATTTATTTATTTATTTATTTGTTTCGGGTCCGGTCATGGGCCTGAACTCTGGGCCTGAGTGCTGTCCCTCTTCAGCTCAAGGCTAGCACTCTACCACTTGAGCCATAGCACCACTTCTGGCTTTTTTTTTTCTGGTTATGTGGTGCTAAGGAATTGAACTCAGGGCCTCATGCATGCAAGTCAAGCGCTCTACCACTGAGCCACTTTCCTTCCCAGCCCCTATTCATTTATTTTTTAATTGGATTGTTGATTCTTTGGGGGCTTAGTTTTTGTTGTTGTTGTTTTTAGCTCTCTGAATTTTCTGGTTATTAATCCCTTGTTGAATGTATAGCAGGCAAAATTTGTCTCCCATTCCATATGCTAACTCTTAGTGATGATTTACTGTGCAGAAGCCTTTTATCCATTAGAGTTCTGTTTAGGAAGAGCCACACCAGTATTTCTAGTGTTCTTCCTATTCTTTCCTGTAGTAGTTTCAAAGTTTTAGATTCTACATTAAGATCCTTTATCTACTTTGACTTGATACTTATACAGAGTGTGAGATAGAGACTGACTTTCAATTTTCTTCATGTGGTTATCCAATTTTCCCAGCTCTATTTATTGAAGAGGCTACTTAATATCACATATTTTAGATTCCTTGGTCAAAAATCAGGTGCCTGTGGCTGCATAGATTTATTTTTGTGTCTTCTGTTCCATTGGTCTTCGTGTCTGTTTTTGTGCCAGTACCATCTTTTTTTTCCCTTGGCTCTATAGTATAATTCGAAGCCCATCATTATGATACCTCCAGCACTTTTAAAAATCAAAATTACTTTGGATATTTAGGGTCTTTTGTGATTTCATATGAATTTATTATTATTTTTTATTTATTTATTTTTGGGTCCGGTTGTAGGGCCTGAACTCTGGGCCTGGGCGCTGTCCCTCAGCTCTTCAGCTCAAGGCTAGCACTCTACCACTTGAGCCACAGCGCCTCTTCTGGCTTTTTTCTTTTGCTTATGTGGTGCTGAGGAATCGAACTCAGGGCCTCATGCATGCAAGGCAAGCGCTCTACCACTGAGCCACCTTCCCAGCCCTCATATGAATTTAATGATTGATTTTTCTATTTTTGTGAAGAATGACATTGGAACTTTGTGGGGATTATATAAAATCTGTAGGTTGTTTTCAGTAGCATTGTCATTTTCATGATATTGATTCTGTAATAAATGAGCATGGCAGGTCTTTTCAGCTTGTGGAGTCTTTCTCAAATTCCTCTTCAGCGTTCCATAGTTTTGCTGAACTCTGTTGATTTCTCCTGATTTTTTTTCTCAGCTTGCTCATTTTTAATGTACAGAAAAAAATAATGTGCTTTTTGTTGTTTTGTTGTTGTTGTTGCTGGTTCTGGGGCTCAAACTCAGGGCTTGGGCACTATCCCTGAGCTCCTTTTTGCTAAAGGCTTGTGCTTTATCACTTGAATCACAGCACCACTTCTGGTTTTCTGGTGGTTAATTGGAGATAAGAGTCTCACAGACTTTCCTGCCCAGGCTGGCTTTGAGCCATAATACTCAGATCTCAGCCTCCTGAGTTGCTAGGATTATGGCATGAGCCACCAGCACCTCCAAAATATACTTTTTGTATGTTGATTTTGTTTTCTGAAAATTGCCTTTAGCAATTGTTACTTCCTCTTGATGGATTTCCTTTATTAATACAAAGTAATCTTCTTTGTCTCTTCTGACTGATTTTGGTTTGAAATCTACTTTATCAGAGAGAAGTATAGCTATTCTGCCTACTTTCTGGATTCATTTGCTTGGTAGATCTTTTTTTATTGTTTCACCCTAAGCCAATGTTTGTTTTTGTCAGTCAGATGCATTCTTGAAGGCAATAAATGATTGGATGTTTTTTCATCTGACTTGTTATTCTATGATTTTTGATTAGACAATGGAGATTATTAATGTTTAGAGTTATTACTGAAGAATATGTGATAATTCTTAGCACTTTTTTGTAGTATTTGGCTCTTTCCTTTATTTGTTTATCTGATGGGATTTATTTTCTCTCCTATTTTATTTCTTTTCTTTTCTTTTTCTTTTTGTCAGTCCTGGGGCTTGAACTCAGGGCCTAGGCACTGTCTCTGAGCTGCTTTTGCTCAAGGCTAACACTCTACCACTTGCGCTACAGCACCACTTCTGGATTTTTCTGTTTATATGGTACTGAGGAATCAAACCCAGGACTTCATGCATTCTAGGCAAGCACTTTACTACTAAGCCACATTCACAACCCTCTTTCCTATTTTCTTTTTTTATTTTGGGGGGGAAAGGGGGAGCGGGGTTGGTCGTGGGCCTTGAACTTTGGGTCTGAATGCTGTCCCTCAGCTCTTCAGCTCAAGGCTAGCACTCTACCACTTGAGCTACAGCGCCACTTCCAATTTTCTGGTGGTTTATTGGAGATAAGAGTTTCATGGACTTGGGCTGGGAAGGTGGCTCAGTGGTAGAGCGCTTGCCTTGCATGCCTGAGGCCCTGGGTTCGATTCCTCAACACCACATAAGCAAAAAGAAAAAAGCCAGAAATGGAGCTGTGGCTCAAGTGGTAGAGCGCTAGCCTTGAGCTGAAGAGCTGAGGGACAGCGCCCAGGCCCACAGTTCAGGCCCATGACCAGACCCCCACCCCCCACCCCACCCCAAAAAAAGGAGTTTCACGGACTTTCCTGCCTGGGCTGGCTTTGAACTGTGATCCTCAAATCTCAGCCTCCTGAGTAGCTAGGATTACAGGTGTGAGCCACTGGTGCCCGGCTTCTTCTCCTATTTTCAAGGTTACATTTATCTTCCTCTTCTGTATGTAAGATTGATTAAATGGCTGGGAAGGTGGCTCAGTGTTAATGTGCTTGCCTTGCATATATGAGGCCCTGGGTTCATTCCTCAACACCACATATGCAGAAAAAGCCAGAAGTGGCGCTATGGCTCAAGTGGTAGAGTGCTAGCCTTGAGCCGAAGAGCTGAGGGACAGCGTTCAGGCCCAGAATGATTGTGTTAAATATCTTCTGTGATGCTGATTTAATGGTCATACATTGCTTTATCTTGAAAGACTTTATCATGGAAGACTTTTTTTTGACCCTCAGTTATGAATAATAACTTAATTAAGTTAATTAATCTAGGTTAACAGTTGTTTACTTTTCAGTATTTCAAATATATAATCCCATATCCACCTTGCATTAGTGATTTCTTATGAGAAATTCATTGTTATTCTGCCTACAATTTGGATCTTTCTTCTAGCTTTATGTAACTATGGTTTGTTTTGGGGTGCTTCTTTTTGTATTTGTTGTGTGTCCTATACATCTCGTGTGCTTACGTAGCTACATCTTTCTCAAGATTTGGGAAGTTTTCTCCCATTATTTTATTGAATATATTTTCTATTCCTTTAGCTTTTACTTCTTCTATTCCAATGATTCTTAAGTTTGGTCTCTTGATAGTTTCCCAGAGGTTTTTACATTTTCTACTCACATTATTTTTTTTCCTAATGCTTCATTTGACTGTTCTTTTTTTTTTTTTTTAATGAGTCCAGGACTTGAACTTGGTACCTGGTACTTTTTCTCATTGTCTAGTGCTCTTCCAACTGAGCCAACCGCCAACCCTGATTTTGTTGTTGCTGTCATTTTGCCCCAGTCCTGGGCTTGAAGTTGGAGCCTGGGCACTGTCCCTGAGCTTTTATGCTCAAGGCTAGTACACTATCCCTTTGAGCCAGAACTCTCTTTCCTTGGCTATTCTAATACATCTATGTTGTCCTTGAACCTCAATATTTTGCCTTCAGATTGATCAGTTGGAGAGCAATTGTGAAGTTAGTCTCACTGAGAAGGGTCTGGTCCCTTCCTCTCTATGTAATTTATGGATAGCTTTTGGCCACCTGGTTGCTGAAGATACACAAATCACTGTTTCTTTGTTTCCGCTGGTGTCTCAGTCTCAAAGCCTGATTGGCTACAGCTTACTTGCCTATAGCTAATGTAATCAAGTTCTCTGAATATCTCAGTCTCAAGCAGAAGACCCTCCCACAAGATGGTACCTTGCTTCTGCTCTCCTGATATTGGGTGCTAAAAGCTGTCTTACCTGATCCTGGCCTGCCACCATGACAAAGTCACTTTCCTCCCAAATCCCTGCACAGAGTGTGATGCTTGTAGAAATTAAGGATTAGTCCCACAGCTAAGTCTGTTGGTGTGTCAAGGAGGTCACTCAGCTAACCTTCTGTTGGGCACTTGAGTCTCTTCTCCACTCATGGGAGACAGGGCTGTGCCTAGACATTGCATCTAGTCTTCACAGTTGCTTTTCTGTTCTACTACACTTTTCAGCTGTTCTGTTCTTTTGTATTTCTCAATGTTTTTCCTCAGTTTTGCTCTCCCAAATGTAGCTTCTCCTTTGTTTCTCAGACTCTTCTCATCCACAGAGTGCAATGGGGAAAGCCTCTATTCTGCCATCTTGACTCCCGAGCACCTTATTTTTATATTTCACTATTCAAAACTCAGAGTGGGAATATTTTGTCATCTATATAATCTGTACAACAAAAGTGTCAAGCAGCAGGTATTGTACTAAGTTAGACTTTTAGTGTTTTAATATCTTGGGCTTTTTTCTTAAGTTTTTTACAGGTTGGTGGATCATGATTGATGCAGCAGTGGTATATCCACAAGACTTAAACCATGCTTTTCACACGTGTGGTGTATTTTCCACATTGGCTTTCTTTATGTAAGTATAAAGATATTCAAAATTCAAAATTTTTTTTTTTTTGTCGGTTGTGGGACTTGAACTCTGGGCCTGGGTACTGTCCGTCAGCTCCTCAGTTCAAGGCGAGTGCTCTACCACTTGAGCTATAGTGCCACTTCTGGTTTTCCAGTGGTTAATTGGAGATAAGAGTCTCATGGACGAGATGTATAAGTAGTTATGTCTAAAACGGGGAAGGGGAAACAAAGGAGGAGGCTACGATGCTTGACAAGAAATGTACTCATTATCTTGCCCATGTAATTGTAACTCCTCTGTACAATATTTTCACAATTAAAAAAAAAGTCTCATGGACTTAATTGCCCAGGCTGGCTTTGAACCCCAATCCTCAGATCTCAGCTTCCTGAGTAGCTAGAATTACAGGCATGAGCCATCAGTGGCTGGCAAAATTACTTTTTGAAGGCTAAGTACCAGTGGCTCACCAAGCTATTCAGGAAGCTGAGATCTGAGGATCAGGATTCAAAGCCAGTCAGAGCAGGAAAGTCCATGAAACTCTCATCTCCAGTTAACTACCAAAAAGCCAGAAGTGGATCTGTGGCTCAAGTGGTACAGTGCTAACCTTAAGCACCTGGATTGCCCCACAACTGACCAAAAAAAAAAAAAAAAAAAACCCTCAGAGAATTCTAAAATGGGACAACTCCGTCTTTTATGTGTTAGGTATATAAATTACCAAAGATGTGTGAAAACTAACTGTTCTTTCATAATCTCTGGAGTACTTTAGAAGAAAAAAATAAAATGAAAGTAACAGTTCTATCCCCTGGGATTGCTGTTTATTTATTTTGGTTATTTAACTTTAGTTGGGACATAAATTTGTTTCTCTGTTAAGGGACCTGTAAATACCTGTGAGTATTTAAATAGCATGAAAGCTCATTGGATGACTTGTGTCTTCTAGGATAAATGCTGTGTCCAATGCTCAGGTGAGAGGTGACAGCTATGAAAGCGGCTGTTTAGGAAGAACAGGTAAAAGGACTATTAATGAGCTGTTAACATGTATTATTATGAGTAACTGTGTTGTGCTGTTAATGATGCTGCAAAAATAGGAACTTATCAGCAGAAAACCAAACCTCCAACATTGATGTGGGACTGGCTGATAGTGATAATGTACAACAGTTATTAGCTTTTGAAAAGTTAATGATAGCTTACATGTGTAGCCCTAGCTATTCAACAGGCTAAGATCCAAAGGATTCCTATGTGAAGCTAGCCATGGCTGGCCATTGAGTCTAGAGGCATGGTTCAAGTGGTAAAACATGAGCCAAGCAAGAAAATGTACATTTAAATCTTTAAGAAAAGAGTTAAATTGCCAGGTACAGATGGCTCAAGCCTGTAATCCTAGCTACTCAGGAGGCTGAGATCTGAGGATGGAGATTCAAAGCCAGCCTGCACAGTAAAGTCCATGAGACTCTTATCTTCAATTAATCACAGAAAAAGCTAGAAATAGTGCCATGGCTCAAGAGAATGCTATCTTTAAGCAAAAAGGAACTCAGGGACAGTGCCTAAGCTGAGTTCAAGCTCCAAGACTGGGGAAAAAAAAAATTAAAGCTACCATTTTTGTTACATTACTTATAGTAGAGAATAGATAAAATGTTACTATTCAAAATCAGTGAATCATGGACTCCAGGTTCCAGTGTTAGTTTCATTTTATTCATAATAATAACCAATAATATTACTTAGATAGCTAGCCATGATCACTGGTAGCATTGGAATGGACACTTTAGGGCACCTAATTCAGGATTATGCTTTTCATATTCAGTTCTAATTACATGAGTCATTTCCACAGAACTAAATGGTTTTGAAGAAACATGCTATTGTCTACAAATAAATTTTCTTTAGTTTGAATTCTTTTAAATTGTTACCTCCAAAATAGTTTTCCTTGGGCTGGGAAGGTGGCTCAGTGGTAGAGCGTTTGCCTTGCATGCATGAGGCCCTGGATTCGATTCCCCAGCACCACATAAGCAAAAAGAAAAAAAGCCAGAAGTGGCGCTGTGGCTCAAGTGGTAGAGCGCTAGCCTTGAGCTGAAGAGCTGAGGGACAGCGCCCAGGCCCAGAGTTCAGGCCCCAAGACCGGACCCAAAAAAAAAAAAAAAAGTTTTCCTTTATCCACCATATTAAGAGCCTGAGGGTTTGTTTTCAGTATGTAACAGGTCTAGTTTCCCATCTTCTGGGGGCAGGGAGGGGGAATGTATAGTCAGAATTGGAAATTTAGAGAGTGTTGGAGAGGAATTTGAAGGATGATTAGGAATAAAAGCAAAGTAGAATATGTGGTGAATGCCAGGAACTGGCCTGAGTATCTCACCATTTTGACTCACTTATGTGTCTCAACAGCCTGTGAATAAGAGTACTATTGCCCTCAACCTTAGGTGAGGTAATGAAAGCAGGTACAGGACCTGGCCATGGGACAGCAAGTGTAGAGCCAGGAATGCACACGGATAGTCTGGCTCTAGTGTCCTGGATCTCAGCCACTGTGCAGTACTTGTTTCCAGGCATAGACATTTGGTTCCTTTGTCTGGCTTAGAACCAGATGGCTTATTTCTTTTTGACCTTGATTGAATGTAATTTATGTACAATAAAATCCACTAGCTTATAGTGTGCAATTTAATGAATCTTACTAAATGTTTAGTTTATGTAACATAATGTAGGATTTTTTTCTTTTCTTTATCTGTCAGTTATGGGGCTTGAACACAAGGCTTGGGAGCTGTCCCTGCTTAAGGCTAGCACTCTACGACTTTGAGTCACAGCTCTACTTCCAGTTTTGTGTTTTGTTTGCTAGTCCCCTGGCTTGAACTCAGGGCTTGGGCCCTGCCCCTTAGCTTCTTTTGCTCAAGACTAGTGCTCTACCACTTGAGCCATAGCATCACTTCTGGATTTTTCTGTTTATGTGGTCCTGAGGAACTGAACCCAGGGCTTCATGTACACTAAGCAAGCACTCTACCGCTAAGCCACATTCCCAGCCCCACTTCCAGTTTTTGGGTGGTTAATTGGAGATAATCTCACAGGGACTTTTCTTCATGGGCTGGCTTTAAACTGCATTCTTCAGCTCTCAGCCTCCTGAGAAGCTAGGATCTAAACTACATTATGCCCAGCTTTAAATTTTCTTTAATTTTAATTTTAATTTGTTTATTGCTAGTCCTGGGGCTTGAACTCAGGGTCTGGGTAATTTCCCTGAGCCTCTTTGTGCTCAAGGCTAATGCTCTCTCACTTGAGCCACAGTGCCACTTCTGGCTTTTTTTTTTTTTGTCAGTAGTGGGACTTGAACTCTGGGCCTGAGTTCTGTCCCAGAGCTCTTCAGCTCAAGGTGAGCACTCAGCCACTTGAGCCACAGCATCACTTCTGGTTTTCTGATGGTTAATTGGAGATAAGAAGAGTTTCACACATTTTCCTGCCTGGGCTGGCTTTGAACCGCGGCCCTCAGATCTCAGCCTCCTGAGTAGCTAGGATTACAGGTAGGAGCCACTAGTATCAGCTTTTCTTTAAAATTAATTAGTTAAATTATTTATATATGGATTTGTTTGGGTTTTTTTTTTTTTTGCCTGTGTACTGGTCCTGGGGCTTGGACTCAGGGCCTGGGCACTGTTCTCAAGCTTCTTTGGCTCAAAACTAACACTCTACCACTTGATCTTCAGCTCAACTTCTGGATTTTGGTAGTTTATTGGAGATGAGAGTTCCATAGACTCTCTTTCCAGGCTGGCTTTAAATCATGATCCTCAGATCTCAACCTCTTGAGTACCTAGGATTACAGATGTGAGCCACTGGTGATCATATTTCTGTTTTGTTTGTTTGTTGCCAGGCCTATGGCTTGAACTCAGGGCCTGGGCACTGTCCCTGAGTTTCTTTTTAGCACTCTACCACTTGAGCCACAACACCACTTCTGGCTTTTTCTGTTTGATGTGGTTTCTGTTTTATGTAGTATGTGTTTTATGAGGAATCAAACCCAGGGCTTTATGCACTCTACCACAAAGCCACATTCCCAGACCATATTTCTGTTGTTGTTTTATTTTGTTTTTCTTAATATACCATTTTTTCACTACAAAGGCAAAACTGACCTTGAAGTCTCACACATTCAGCCTCAGGCTTTTGAGTCTGGAACTGTAGTCATGTATTAACATGACTATGTGTTAACACACACAGTTATTGAGTGCATTTCTCTTACCCCAAATTGTCCTTCATTGTTCATTTTCTTCTCCACCACCTCCTGGCCACAACTGATCTGCTTTGATTTTGTTCTGGTCCCAGGGCTTGAAGTCAGAAGTGTCTGACATTTTTTTTTTAGTGGTTAATTTGAGCTAAGAGTCTCAGTCAGTGCCAGTGGCTCACGCCTGTAATCCTAGCTACTCAAGAAGCTGAGATCTGAGGATTATAGTTTAGTCTATGAGACTCCTAGCGCTAATTAACCACCAGAAAACCGGAAGTGGTGCTGTGGCTCAAAGTGGTAGAGCACTAGCCTTGAGCTGAAGAGTTCAGGGACAGCGCCCAGACCCAGACTTCAAGCCCCATGACCAACAAGAAAAAAAACAAAGAGTCTCACAGTCTTTACTGCCCAGGCTGGCTTCTAACCATGATCCTTAGATCCTTAGATCATGGTTAGCCTCCTGAGTAGCTAGGATTATAGGCATGCCCAATTTCTTATCTGCTTTTTATCACTATAGTTTTTGTCTTTTCCATACTTTAACAACTAGAATCATATATTTAGTATGAGAAATGTTACCCTAAATAAAAATACTGTGAAGAACTTAGCTTTCCTTTCTACCTGGTGCTTTCAATGCTGACATAGAGTTTATTTTATTTATTTTTTGGTCGGTTGTGGGGCTTGAACTCTGGGCTTGGGCGCTGTCCCTGTGCTCTTCAGCTCAAGGCGAGCACTCTACCACTTGAACCACAGTGACACTTCCGGTTTTCTAGTGGTTTTATTGGAGATAAGAGTCTCACGGACTTTCCTGCCTGGGCTGGCTTTGAACCGTGATCCTCAGCTCTCAGCCTCCTGAGTAGCTAGGATTACAGGCGTGAGCCACCAGCACCTGGCTTGACATAGACTTCATAACCTTACTTCTACCAGGATCCATGGAGAATTGAGGAAAAGAGCACTGGTGACAAGTAACAGATGAGTCTAAAGTCAAAATGCACATTACGCGGGCACTTCATTCTGTGCCTTAGCCTCACCAGTCATGTCAAGAATAAGGAGGGGAAAGATGAAATTAGTAAGTCAAAAATATCATGTGTAAAGCACATAGTAGCTGGGCTCTGGTGGCTCAGGCTTGTAATCTTAGCTGCTCAAGAGGCTGAGTTCTGAGGATTGTGATTCAAAGCCAGCCTGGGCAGGAAAGTGCATGAGATTCTTCCTATCTCTAATTAACCACTAGAAAACTGGAAGTGGAATTGTTTCTCAAAGTGGTAGAACCCTATCCTTGAGCAAAAATGCTCAGGGACAGTGCCCAGGCCCTGAGTTCAAGCCCCACAGTCAACAACAACAACAAAAGTACACAGTAATTTATTTGACTTTTGTTGTTGTTAAGGACTTTTCTACATACATTATTATGGGTTATTACCATGATATATTTTTAATAGAAAGTAAAGATGGAGTTTCTCTTTGCTTTCAGGCTGTCTGGCCAAGCCCAGTCATAAAGCCTCTTCTTCACACAGGTGCTCGAGTTTGGCTCTTCATTGGTTTCATGTTGATGTTTGGGTCGCTTATTGCTTCCATGTGGATTCTTTTTGGTGCATATGTTACCCAGAGTAAGTACGCATTCCTCCTTTATTTCACAGAACTCTGATAGATGGCTTTTATATTTGGCTTAGTCTGCTAAGTCTAAAATTGACTGCAATTTTTTCTTTTTGTCGGTCGTGAGGGCTGAACTCTGGGCCTGGGCGCTGTCTCTCAGCTCTTCAGTGCAAGGCTAGCGCTCTACCACTTGAGCCACAGCTCCACTTCCAGCTTTTTTCTGCTTATGTGGTACTGAGGAATTGAACCCAGGGCCTCATGCATATGAGGCAAGCACTCTACCACTGAGCCACCTTCCCAGCCCCTGACTCCAATTATTGAGTTAGCATAAACTACTCTTCTGGATGAAGATTCACTAGTTGTTAATAAAATCCATCATTGTATAGTAGGATGGTCCAGTAAAGAAATACCAACCCCTGACAAAGCCTGTAGCTGTAAAGTTTCTGATTCTTACCTTGTACAGCCAAGTTCCTATACCAAAGGCCCATTTGCTGGAGCTCTCACTGGTTCAGTGAGAAACTAATGCAGGTCTATATTCAGACTTCTGACAATTCTGAAATCTATGTAGTGCTAGAAGTAAATTTTTTTTGGGTGGGGGGGGTCGGTCATGGGGCTTGAACTCTGGGCCTGGACACTGTCCCTGTGCTCTTCAGCTCAAGGCTAGCACTCTACCACTTGAGCCACAGCACCATTTCTGGTTTTCTAGTGGTTATTGGAGATAAGAGTCACAGACTTTTCTGCCGGGGCAGCTTTGAACTGTGATCCTCAGATTTCAGCCTCCTGAAATTACAGGCGTGAGCCACCAGCGCCCAGCTAAACTTTTTTTTTTTTTGGTTGGTTGTGGGGCTTGAGCTCAGGGTCTGGGTACTGTCCCTGAACTCTTTTTTGCTTAAGGCTAGTTGCAAAGTTCCACTTCCAGTTTTCTGGTGTTTTGGAGATAAGAATCTCACAGACTTTCCTGCCCGGGCTGGCTTTGAATCATCGTCCTTAGATCTCATCCTCCTGAGTAGGTAGGATTATAGGTGTTAGCCATCTGCTTGGCAGCAGTTTGTCAGCAAAATCTTAACTTGACAACTGGCTTATTTATGAGTCCTTATTTAATGCAAGTAGTCAAGTATTTTATTGTGGAAATGAAATGAATTTGATTATGGGATGCTGGACCAGATCCAGCTTTGTGATATGCAATATGTATACTTCACTAAACTCTTATTTATTTATTGCCAGTGCTGGGGCTTGAACTCTGGGCCTGAGCACTGACCCTGAGCCTCTGTTTGCTCAAGGCCAGTGCTCTACCTCTTCAGTCACAGCTCCACTTCCAGCTTTTTCTGTGTATGTGGTACTGAGGAATGAAACCCATGGCTTCTTGCATGTTAGGCAAGCACTCTACCACTGAGCCACCTTCCCAGCCCTACTTCACTATTCTTTTGTTGTTGTTGTTGTTGTTAGTCATGGGGCTTGAACTCTGGGCTTGGATGCTGTCCCTCAGCTCTTCAGCTCAAGGCGAGCGCTCTACTACTTGAGCCACAGCGCCACTTCCGGTTTTCTAGTGGTTTATTGGAGATAAAGAGTCTCACGGACTTTACTACCTGGACTGGCTTTGAACTGTGGTCCTCAGATCTCAGCCTCCTGAGTAGCTGGGATTACAGGCGTGAGCCACTGGTGCCTGGCTACTTCACTGTACTTAAATCTGAAAAAAATCTGAATTCCAAAGCTTGTCTTGCCCCAAGGATTTCAGATTAAGTGTATGGACCCCAAAATCTTTTTTTACCATTCACATCTTCTCTCTGAAAGACAGTCTATGGTTTTCAGTCATGCTCAGAGGGAGTTTTTTTGTTTGCTTTTTGTTTTTAAAGGGAAGCACTGTCGATGTGAGCTGCCTTTGTGCAGAAGCAAGAGAGGCAGCGAGTGTACCTGTCACACCATTCTGAGTTTTGTCAGTTCCAGAAATGGAGATATTAGCCAGGCTGCGGTGGAGAGGCAGAACCCAGCCTGGGCATTCATTGCTTCTGGAAGCATCGGAAGACCCCGTGTCACTAGCTCAAAAACAGGAGAATAGAGTGTTCATCCCCTGCCCCGCCCCCCCTGCTTCCTCTGGAAGCTGTGTGTCAGCCTTCTGCACTTACCTGTTACACCCGCTCATCCTCACTCACAGCTGATTTTGTTTTGTGTTGTTTTGCCAATATTGGCAGTAGGTCTTAAATCTCTGTCAGCTGGGCACCCAGTAGTTCATGCCTGTAATCCTAGCTACTCAGGAGGCTGAGATCTGAGGATTGAAGTTCAAAGCCAGCCCAGGCAGGAAAGTCCATGAGACTCTTATCTCCAATAAACCACTCAGAAAACTGCAAGTGGTACTGTGGCTCAAGTGCTAGAGTGCTCGCCTTGAGCTGAAGAGCTCAGGGCCAGCACCCAGGCCCAGAGTTCAAGCCCCACCACCGACCAAAAAAAAAAAAAAACCTTTGCAATAGTTTGGCTTCCCTTTGGCTCAAAAGAAGTAAAAGCTCAACAGGACAGTGGTTGGCTAATGTTTAAGTAACATTGCTCACCAAATACTACTAAAATGTGTCATTCCAGTTAATTAAAAGGCTGACACTGGTGACTAATGCCTATAATCCTAACTACTCAGGAGGCTGAGATCTCCTGATTATAGTTCAAAGGCAGCCTGGGTAGAAAAACCTCAGATTCTTATCTCTAATTAACTATAAAAAGCCAGAAGTGGGGATGGCTCATGGTACTGGGCTATTCTTGAGCAAAAAAGCTCAGGGGCAGCATCCATGCTTTGAGTTCAAGTCCCATAACTGACATGTGTATACATGCGCATACACACACACATACACACACACATACACACACATTAATGGAAGGCTGGTGGAGGTACATTTTGGATTAGAATATGTGCTTAGCATATTCAGAACATAGTTTGAATTCCCATCACTAAAAAAGTAAATGCCAATAAAGCACTTAGTTCTGGAATATAACTCTTTGAAAGGAATATAAGTGTGGTGGTGCATGCTATAATTCTAGCATTTAGGGGGCTGATGTAGGAGGATTGCAAGTTTGAGACTATGCTGGGGTTCATGGTAGGACCCTGTCTCTTTGTGCAACTAACTTAGCTTTCGAAAACAAGGGGAGCAGGAGAGACCAGGATCTAGTAGCTCACATCTGTAATCCTAGCTACCCAGAAATATGAGGGTTCAAAGCCATCCTAGATATAAAAGTCCAAAGTACTTCCTCTTTCCCACCCCTAATACTAGGGATTGAACCCAGGGTTTTTTGGTGTATGTGTATATGCCATTATTGGGGTTTGAACTCAAGGCCTCAAGTTCTTGTTTAGCTTTTCACTCAAGGCTGGTATTCTACCACTTGAGCCATCCATCTAGCTCCAGCCTTTAGATGGTCAATTGGAGACTAAAGGTCTTGTGTATTTGTCTTCCCTAGCTGCTCTGAACTGTGGTCCTTAAATTCCAGCCTCCTGAGTAGCTAGAATTATAGACATGAGCCAACAATGCCCTACTTGAACCCAGTTTTATGCTTCTATGCAAGTATCACCAAGCTATATCTACAAAGGTTTGTGGCCTTTTGGCTTTATAATCTTCTCATCTGTTTTTCTTTGTATGTGCAGACATTGATGTTTATCCTGGACTGGCTGTGTTTTTTCAAAATGCTCTCATATTTTTTAGGTAAGTTGCCTAATTTTTTTTGTTGTTGTTGGTGGTGGTGGTCCTGGGCCTTGAACTTGGGGCCTGCGCACTGTCCCTGAGCTCTTTGGCTCAAGGCTAATGCTCTACCACTTCCAGCCACAGTGCCACTTGTAGTTTTCTAGTGGTTAATTGGAGATGAGATTCTCACAGACTTTTCTGACCAGGTTGGCTTTAAACCATGATCCACAGATCTCAACCTCTGGAGTAGTTAGAATTACTGTCATGAGCCACCAGTACCCAGCTAAAGTTACCTAATTTTTTAACAAACTCTATTATAAAACCAGCATGTACAAGGCACATGCAAATCCCTTTGATTAGTTACCAAAAGACTGCTTTATTTATTTACTGATTTTTTTTGGTACCTGTCCTGGAACTTGAACTCAGGTCCCAGGTGCTGTCCCTGAGCTTTTTAGCTCAAGGCTAGCATTTGACTATGTGTCACAGCTCTACTTCCAGTTTTCTGGTGGTTAAGAGTCTCGTGGACTTTCCTGTCCCAGCTGGCTTCTAATTGTGATCATCAAATCTCAGCCTCCTTAAGTCGTTAGGATTACAGACATGAGCCACTGGTGCCCAGCCCAAAGGACTGCATTAAAAGTTCAAATTCCACTGTAAGAGCACACGAGCTTTTTGACTAAGGGGCCTGCTCTTTCTTTCTTTCTTTTTTTTTTTGGGGGGGGCCCGGTTGTGGGGCCTTGAACTCTGGGCCTGGGCGCTGTCCCTCAGCTCTTCAGCTCAAGGCTAGCGCTCTACCACTTGAGCCACAGCACCACTTCTGGCT